AGCTCTTTGAATACTAATTCCCAAACTAAATGACCTCAAAACTAAGTTTTTCGGGGCGCCTGGGTGGCTCAGTCGTTAAGCATCTGCCTTCAGCTCAGGTCATGATCCCAGGGTCCTGGGATCGAGCCCCGCATCGGGCTCCCTGCTCCAAGGGAAGCCTGCTTCTCCCTCTCCCACTCCCCCTGCTTGTGTTCCCTCTCTCCCTGTGTCTCTCTCTGTCAAATAAATAAAATCTAAAAAAAATAAATAACTTTTTAAATTCTTGCTTCTAACACTTGAAACCTGACCCCTCTTCACTATCAAGATGCTAGCCATCACTTCTTGCTCCTATCTGTATGTTTCTCTAGTAACACTTCTCCTGTCCCTATTTTGCTCTTCCTCACCTATTATAGTCTAAAAAACCAAGTATCACACTTTGTCAGAACTAGAAAAAGTTTTCAAGTAAGAGCAAAGGTCTCATAAAAAAAGTAAAATATGCAAATTTCTGTAAATGGCTTTGCTTGGAAAATACCCAAATATGGGAATTTTTCATTTAAAAAGTTTGATAAGAGCCAATAATATCCCAACAACTGATTTCTGCCTATTTCCTAGATTTATTTTCATGAAACCAATCAGTACAAAGAACAGATTTAATGGACAATGAATTTATACCAGTAATTAGGAAAACATCCTTATGAAAGAATAACTTACAGTTACCAAAGAGACTAAAAATAAAAATGTGATTAGGCTCCATCCTGGCCAGAAAAATGAGTAATTTTTCAACACTCCTCTATTAAAAAAAAAAAAAGACTATGTTAAAGAAAAATTTTGGTTTCAAATGTTGTAGAACTCTTTAACTTGCCAACCTATTTTCCCACTTCTAACTTCATACTTGCACTATTTTCATATCACCATGTCCTAAGGCAGATTAAAAATAGAAATGCAGTCCTATATCCTCTAACAACTCATCCCTATTAACATTATATCAGCACTAGGAAACAAGTAAAATAACACCTTCATGAAAAGTAACAGATACCACAAATTTTCCCAGTGTTCTTTAAAAAACGAGATTTTGTGGAATCTGCAGGAAGTGTATTCTAGTCATGAGTAAAAAAATCGAACAGTGTAAAGATGTAAACTCATCCCAATTTAGGTTTAAAGCAATTCTAAACAAAACTTCAAATAACTGGCTTTTTAAAAATTTAACCAAATGAATCTAAATTTCATCTGCAAAAGCAGGGAAGACCAGCTAAGAAAACTGAAAAGGAATTATGAGTATTGCCCCTCCACATATTTATATAGTCTACAGCACTACAGCAAATGAAACAATACAGTACTGCTATATAATAAGGCCCAGACAGTGCTTGTTAACCTGCTTTTAGATTTTATATTACATGATTCCTGTCAAAAGCTGATGAAAACTGTAACTCTTTCCCCAGAAAAATGCACATATGCACACTCACATGAAGTTGTATACATCAAGGAATCCATGGAACGATCTATCGAGGAATCCTCTAAAGCCTATCTATAGGAACTCCTGAGGCAAATGGACTCCAATTTAAATATCCCTAGTAAATGAAGCAGAACTATAGCTCAAACCTAGTAACTTAGCAAAATTAGCAACTCAAAGCAGTAAGAAAAGAGATCACCAAAATAAAATTCTAAGAAAACTAGGTATTTGGAAAAACTGGAAACTAGCAACCCATCTTCACACAATAGGACAAAATAAACACCATACAGATTAAAACCCATATTTTTTTAAGATCATTACAATATGTAGAAAAAATAAGCAAAATAGGTGAATATTTAGTTCATCCCACAACAGGTCATATTTTCTAGGCAAAGAAGTCCTGGAAGAAATCACAAATAAGAAAAAGAAAAAGCAGTATGTTAGACTACATAAAAATGGAAAACTTCTGAATATATAAAACCATAAGCAATTTTAATAGTAATAAACTAAAACAAACAAAAAAAAACTGGCAAAGAGATGAATAGCAAAGGGCTAGATACATAAATAGCTGTTACAAAATGGGAAAAACATTAACAGCTAATTCACAAAAATGAGAAAACTGCATTTATAAACATTAAAAAGTTCAACTTCACTAGTTATCAGAAAAAAAAAAAACTAATGAGCTACTATTTTTCAGCCACCAAATTGATGGTGGTATGGAAAATGCTTTTAAAAAAACTAAGTTTTTATTAATTGTGTAAATTACTTTAAAAGCCCTTTGAAGCAGTAATTTCAAAGAAATATTATGAGATGCAGTTCATGACTCGTGCAAGGATGTTCACTGTAGCATTATTTATAACAGAGAAAAAAGCAACAAACAAATGGTCAATAAAGGAAATGTTTAGTAAGTCACAGTACATTCTTATTAGAGATAACAATCTTATGTAACCACTTAAAACATTCAAAAAATATTTCATGATTTGGGATATTTTCAGAACATAATATTATGTAGCCATTAAACATTTTCAAAAGAATATTATATATTAAAAAAAATCAAAGTATTTTTAAAAGAATAAAGAAATGGGAAAATGTCCACAATATGACACTGAATTAAAAGAATAGGAATGAAATTATGGTCCAAATGAAAAACTAACTGATCAATATTTATTGAACAATCCATATTTATTGATTGATCAATAAATGGGAAAAAAAAAACACACACCAAAACATTTAGTGTTTACTTCTAAATGTTGCTAATTTTCAATACTTTCCAAATGTGCTATAATAAGTAAAAAAAAAAGTATTTAAATATATGTATCATATATTCAGATCATAATTTAAAGAAAAAAAGACAATTTTAATGACTTATGGCTTAAGCAAACCTTTTGTCTAAAACACATGTTGTGGTATTTAAAATCTACAAAACTAAAAAGGTTTTAAATGACCCCAATAACTTAGTATTTGTTCCATAAGTAATCTAGTCTTAATGTTATATAAGTTGCATATGTGCCAAAATTTTGTGGTATCATAACTACCAAACTAAAATTTCAAAACACCTTTGTTATTGAAAGAACAATAATTAACAAATAGTGGAGAGTCAGACAATTCATTGGTCTTAAGTTTTAAGTTTATAAAAGTGTATTTGCCTTTCTAACAAACAGCAAAATTATCTTACTAAGAAATATTTACATTATACATTACGTTCCTCAGTGTTTTCAAGTACTACAATCTTCAGCATTAACCTAAGAGGCAATCATTTGTACATTCAAATGAAAACATAAGCTTAAATATACAAACCAAAATATTTCACTTTTCTGGAAATGCAAAGTGTACCATGCCCTAAGATCAAAGTTCTTTTCTTAACTTAAATATGTATGTGTATATAAGTACACATCCAAAAATACAGTTATAGACAATACAACATACTTTCAACTCTAAACATCTGAAATAATGTCCCAGGAAGTGGGGGAAGGGTGTGCTGGGTAATCCACCCCAGAAGTATAAAAAGGGAAGAGATTACACAACTGCCCTCTAAATATATTTCTGCGTATGAGTCCAGAGGTCCAGGAATTATATGAACGGCTAATTTTCTGTTGAGAAAAAAGAATTATCTTTCCTATCACTCCATTCTATCTCATATGTGACGTCATTTTTAAAAACCCCACCAACCAAAACTATTCCTTTCAATAACATCTACTTAATACTAACGGTACTTGCTTTGGGCAAGAAAAACGTCCCTAACCAACCATTATAAAGTACTAGCCACTTCTTCATTTGACAGATGACTGATTTAAACTTAGTGTTATATAACCAACCAAGAAACCAATTACTGTACACACAAACCACAGGTGAAGTTTATGAAAACCAGTTACAAGTTGTTAGTCCAGTAAGAAATAGTTTGCACAATAGAATTGTATCAAATTGTATAACACTTATTCCAGGGGTGTTATATAAGATTTAAATATAGTGACACAACCATTGTAAACTAAAATAAATCAGTAGCATACTTACAACTACCTTCTTTAAGAAATGAAAACTAGGAACACTAAGAACTCAAACACAACTGTATCTCATACACATGTATATGGGCTTTTTTTTAAAGAATCAACTGATTTTTTTTCATTGGTGGTTAACTTTATTTCCTCATAAAGGCCTCAGTTTAGTTAGTTCTTTGCAGAATTCTTTATAAGAAAAATTTACCAAATTTTATTTCACATAACATATAAAATGCTAAAAAAAAAAGACTCAATTTTAAAAGTCAGAGTAACAAAAATGTCCAAACTGAAGCAATTATGGCCAAGAGCTCAGAGACTGAAAAAATCTAAAACTCAAATGCAAGTAGGATCAGCACACAAACTGATAAAATTAAGACTTCGTTAACTTAGATTGAGATTTGATTTTTCCAATACCCTTTCACCCTCATATTTCCAAAACTCAAATTGTTTCTATTTTATAAACATTCCCTGATAAGAAAACTGGTAAAAATACGGTTAAAAATGTATTTGCAAATATGCAGTTCAATTAAATGTACTTCCCCTGAGACCACCACTAGGTGCTGATCTTTATCTCCCTAAATATAAATTTGAAACCAGCAATACCCTAAAAGTGAAATTATAATCGAGAACCACAAGTGACAATCATTTTTACAGAAAATTAAGTTCACAGCTTCTCAGAGAATCGGAAAAATATAAATAGAGTTTGAGGTCGGTATAAGAGTAAAACACAAGAGAAACGTTTTCCTTGAAAAATGTGGGAATTTGAGGATATGAAAATGAAACTCCTCAAGAATGAGGAAAATTAAATCTAGAACCCAAATGGCGTCCAACAAGAACATTAGATCTTGAAAATGAATATTGCGCTTGCGCAGCCACCGCCCCGCCAGCTGCACAACTGCAGCTAGAGCCCGACCCCGCAAGATCACGTGCTCCCATGCAGCGCCCGCCCGCAGCTCCGCAACCGCGCAGGCGCACACACAACTCCCGCAGCCGCCATAATGCGGTCTTGATTCTTCATAAATACAATAGTAATTTAAGAAAATGTGGTTATAACAGCCCCTAGGAGTCACATATACCTTTCGGGGCGGGAGATGAGGGAGGGGGAACCAAGTTCCTTCCTACAGAGCCGTTCCGCGCAACCGTCCTCAACGCGGCCGCTTCAGTATCGCGCGCTTCAGTCGCCGGGCCGCCGCTGCCGCCGCCGCCTCCGCAGATTCAAAAACAAACCCGCTTCTCCCTTGCACGCGCCGGGCCGTTATGCAAATTATGTGGGTGGGGCTACATGGTCGTAATATTGGCCACGCCCATGGCACTAACAGCCAATAGGCTCACGGGCTCAGCCGTTCCCCATGCAAATCTCCTGGTTTTTTATTTGAATGAGGGAAATTGACCACGCCTCCTGCCTTGGAAAGGAGAAGGAAGTCTGAGGTGGTGGCGCTGCGCCTTTCAGTTGCAGTGTGAGGTGTGTTTTGAGTGGAGCTTCGCTCAACCAGTGAGTAGCACTTTGTTAGCGCCCTCTATGAGCTTTAGGAAAAAAGGAAGGAAATAGGTAGGTGAGAGTTAAAGAGCTGAGAGAAAGATTTTCTTTTTGGAAAAGCCTGAAGTGTATTTGTTCATCATTTATATTAAAAATTCACAAAGTATATTTTAAACTGTAAGTAATGAGAGAATGGCGAAAACACATCTTTTCTTTCAGTTTTGTGGCAGAGCTAGCACTTCCAATCATACCCTTCCACCGGAAGTTGTATCCCTTATATGCAATTTTATATTAGGAGCCAATCCTTAATGAAGGCCATGAGATGTAGTGGAGAAGGTGCTACTCAGTTTGTTGGGAGATCTGGGCTCACGTCCAAGTACTCCTGCTTTCTTGCCTGTTTCTTGGAACACGTGTGTTGACACAATTTTCTCATCTCTAAAATGGTGATAATGCCTATGATTCAAATCGGTTAAGAGAGCTCAATGACAGGATAACTGTAAAGGTGTTTTGCAAAGCAAGAAGAGCATGACAAATAGATAAGGTTTGGTTATCTTGTTTTTTAATGTAATTTTCCCTTAATCTATTCATTCAGTTTTTATTTAGCAATCACTGTTCTAGAACTATATTAGGCACCTGTCCTCAAGAAATCTAAACTAGAGGAAATAAAAGTAAACAAGACATTTTTGTAAGTAATAAAATATTAGTGGAGGGTGGTTAATACTTATTTTTAGAATTTGGGTCTTTCAACTTAGTTGAAACACTGGGTGGCTTTAGGAGAATCACCTAATCCAGAGTTAGAGAATCAGTAATGCCTTCCTAGAAAAGGTGAACTCTAAAATGAGAACTGCTTTAAAAGATTTTTTGCCTAAAAACTGAACTTCATTGTAGAACAATGAGGGATCACTTGAAATGTAATAAGTCAGGAAATAACACAGATTTGCATTGCTTTATTGCTAAGCTTTGTAAAGTACTTTGCACAGAACATTGTACACGATTGTTCAAAAGAATTATAAATACAGGCTCAACTATAACATTATGTATTATAATTTATTTAGTCCATAGGTGCTCAGTTATAAAATACTCAAATTGTAAATATTAATATAGATATTAAAAGCTTCACTCTATAATAATAAAACAAATGGGATTGGAATAATAGAGCCCATCAGGTTTCACTTTGTATGTTTTCTCTAAACAAATAAAAAAGAATCATGTTTATAAGAGTTCACTCTCAATTGTTTAGACTAATGCCAAAGGGAAAAATAATTCAGCATTAACTCACCAATTAGTCAATTTTCATAGATATGCTCATATTCTAGACTTGCCTCCCTAAGACTCTAACTAGATAGCTTTATTATATTTGAATCTCCCCAAATATACTCAACCACACATTTATAGTCTCTTCAGCCATTCCATCTGCTGGTTGATCTAACCAATCATTGATTTGTTTCATTCCACAAGTACATTATTTATTATGTAGTCACACACTATTCTAGGCCCTAAAGATGCCCAGAGGAAATGACACTCCCTCTAATGGGGAAAGAAACATATATACAGATGAACATTATTAAATCATTACTATCAGGGCACCTGGGTGGCTCAGTCGGCTAAGCATCTGCCTTCAGCTCAGGTCATGATCCCAGGGTCCTGGGATCGAGCCCCACATCCGGCTCCCTGCTCAGCAGAGAGTCTTCGTCTTCCCCTCCCTCTCCCTGCCCCCCCTTCCCCCCACTCATGTGCCCCCTCTTTCGTTGTGCTCTCTCTCTCAAATAAATACATAAAATCTTTTTTAAAAAAGAAAGAAATCATTACTATAATGAAGATATACTCTAAATATAAAAGAAATACAAAACAAGAGGACCTAAATCTTCCCCATAGAATATAGGAAAATTTCTTGCCTGTTTCTTGTAATAAGTGTGAGGCTTGACCTGACTCATAATGAAGAGCTTAAAGTGGCTGTCAGAATAATATAAAATAAAGAGAATTCAAGTCAGGTAAAACAGAAATGCAAAATGTTTCTCATTCCCTTTGGCACTAGGCACTGGCCAGTCAGAGTGGAAGCAGACTTGATGACCTTCTACTTTGTCAGATGTTAATCCTTTAGTTGTAGGATTGTAAGCGGTCCAGGGCTTCTTCAGCTGGGGACCTAGGCAGACTGGATGGTAGGAGGAGTATTCAGAGGTGGGGCAACTACTTGCCAATCAGTACCAAAGGATTTCTAGATTTTATCCACCATTTTGGCCTTATTTATACAAACACTGAAAATTCTAGAAGAAAAAAAAAAAGCTTTAGTAAACCACAGAGCTTCTCAAAAAAAAAAATCCAAAAACCAAAACCCTAAAATAATAAACATAAATGAATTTCATTTGTAGCTATTGAGCAGCAATTGAACAAGGAAAACAGAACTTTTGAAAAACAGCATAAACTTGAAAAAGGAATAGCTAATGAGGAAAATTGAAGTTTCTAAGTACTACAAAATGAGACCACCTAATGTAGTGATCACAAAAATGGGCTTTGAAAGCTTACTACCTGAATTGGAATCCCTTTTTTTTTTTTTAAGATTTTATTTATTTATTTGACAGAGAGAGACACAGCGAGAGAGGGAACACAAGCAGGGGGAGTGGGAGAGGGAGAAGCAGACTTCCCGCTGAGCAGGGAGCCCAATGTGGGACTCGATCCCAGGACTCTGGGATCATGACCTGAGCCGAAGGCAGACGCTTAACGACTGAGCCACCCAGGCGCCCCCTTAATTGGAATCTTGTCGCTACTTCTTTACTGCAGCACATTCTAAACTTCTCTATACAAATGGTTCCAGAAATATGAAATGGGGATGACAAAAAATAGCCTCTGTCTGATGCAGTTTTTATGAAGATTAAATTCTGGTAAAACATTTCAAACAATACTGAATATATAGTAATATCTTGATAAATGGTCAGCTAATAGTAATCATCCTAGTGGTAGTAGTACTAGTAATAATAATAGTACTTGTTAGAATGGTAAAAGTGCAGACATAGCTCAACTTGAGCGGTTTCCTTCTTTTTTCTTTTTGTTAAAGATTTTATTTATTTATTTGACAGAGAGAGACACAGCGAGAGAGGGAACACAAGCAGGGGGAGTGGGAGAGGGAGAAGCAGGCTTCCCGCTGAGCAGGGAGCCCAATGTGGGGCTCGATCCCAGGACCCTGGGACCATGACCTAAGCCGAAGGCAGATGCTTAATGACTGAGCCACCCAGACACCCCAGCTTGAGTGGTTTCTATCTGCACATGCTATACTATCATTAAGAAAAAATATGAATTAATCTGATAATTTTTATTATTGTCCTCCAATTTGCAGAGAAGTTTACTAAAGTGTTAAGTAGACAACCCTGGGAAAACTCAGGAAGCAATTTGGGAATAAGAAATGTGGGAAACAGGATTCTAGGATGATCTCCACTTCTTTGTGTTCATACCATATATAATCCTCTCCCCTTAAGTATGGGCAGAACCCATGACTTACTCCTAGGCAATAGAGTATGGCAAAGGTGAATGAATTTTGCAGATATAATTAAAGTCTCAAATAAATTGATTTCAAGTTAACCAACCAAAAGGGAGATTACCTTGGGAAGACCTGACTTAATCTGGAAAAAGCCCTTTGAAAAGGAGCTAGGCCTTCCTTGAGAAGAGAGTTTCTCTTTGCTGGCTTGACACAGTAAGCAACTATGTTGAAGAAACCAACATGGAAATTTACTAAATTGGCTTATAGAATCTATGGATAGCCTCAGAGTGGGCTTCAGCCAACAGGTAGGAAAAAGCCAGGACCCTCAATCATATAGCCATAAGGAAATAAATTCTATAAATAAACTAAATGAGCTTGGAAGCCTTGTGAGACTATGAGCAGAAGATCCATCTAAGTCATACCAAAAATCCTGACCCACAGAAACCAAGATAATAGATGCATATTTCTTTAAGTTACTAAATTTGTGGTAATTTGTTACTTGGCAATAGAAAACTAATACAGGAAGTCATCGAGAAGGGAAGGGGTATCTAAACCATTTTCCAAGATACATACATGATCTAAATGAATGAAATGGGTTCTATTAGAAAATATTTAACTGGCACTCAATAAAAAGGATAGAACCAGTACTATAATTATATCTCAACAAGAGGGGCCTCTTTTCTGGTCCCCATATTTTAGTGGGCCCCTATATATCATAAACATACACACACAGATTCATAAGAACAGACAGATGCCTTTGTCGCTCAGATCTGACACTCAGCAGTACCATAACGGTAACTGTGACCTTAAAACATCTGCTCTGTTAATATTACCAAAGGCCTCAGGGGAATGCTTCTCCATATTTTTTGCTCCGTGTCCTCAAAACAAAAGGCAATTATCAAAATACTATGGAGGTAAGTGGATTGAGACACACACACAACTTCAGGGTATGTAATGATTTGAGCAGCAAGATAAATTTTAAAAATTAACTTTTCAGATCCTTAGTACAATTTCAATAGATTTTTCCTTAACAATCATTTGCCAGTAGTGTCAAGCCTCCATTTTCTTGCCTCTTTTCATGTTCCAATTTGTGATTCTGTAGGTACTCAGAACTTATTACAGTATTCTCAACATTTGTACTTAGCTTCTGAAAAACTTCAAAATATTAAATAATCCATATTAATTTTATATTTGTATACCATACATGTAGATGTTGATGTAATATAAATGAAACATGATATTCAATTTTTAAATTAGCAACTAAATTACATCA